GTACTGATTTCACAGGGATATGCTGAAGTGGCTAAAATATGCAGTAATCCGTATCAGTGATCATTAATATTCTCAACCTGTACTCCATTTTATCATTAATATCATCATCAACATTATCCACAGATTCACCATTCATCGTACGAAGTTATAATCTCTGCAAAGTGACATAAAATAAATTTATTCATTGTATAATCTCAATGGACACAGAACAAGGAAACAGCATAACAAAATCAATGCAGCATGTTATCAGTCAGTTATGTGTAAAGTTTACAGAGAGAAGTGAGAACATGAGATGAAATATCACTATGATAAATAATAATAATAAATTCGATCCTAATGATAATAATGACAATTTATCTTTAGAATTATTTAGCTCTTGGGATGAAAAGTGCTTTTTTTAGCTGAGACTGTTTTATAGAATATAATATTACAATATGTATTGTTTATTCTTGTCATATACACTATTTGCTATTACACTTCATAGAAAGCATTTCTTTACTATTCTGAGCATACACAAGTAGATGAAACACTTGTCATCACCCCTTGATCATAGAAATTTGTATTGAGATGACCATTATTATTAATAATAAGTACTAATTCATGTAGATTTAGTTGTGAACTGATACTGAACCTTAAGCAGCTGTTTTGTTCTGGTTTAAGACTCTTAAACTCTGTGCCCCGTTTCCCACCAGTTACCGATCTAAAAACTTGTTGGTTACGCTACTATCCAGTTGTTTGGTTGGAATAAAGTGATTTGCGAATTATAAATCTTGTCAGCTCACGACATAGCTCCACCACCATCTAAGCGTTGTCAATAAGGACCCGTATACTAACACTGGAAAATTAGTTAAATGCTCACTAGCAACTAACTTCAGGATGGCTTTTCCAGATTTTCGATGGTGAACCTTGACCAAGTCAGTCAACTAAGTGGAGTTTGAGAGTGACAGTGCAAAACAGTCACAAACTGACAGATCACCATGTATAGCTAATTAGATGCTGAACCAGTGGCCGAACAGTAACAGACTAGCCTTAGAACGTAAAGGGTCTCAAATCCGATCATTTTTAGAGGCTTGGGTGCATAAAATATCCGAAACCAGAGCGAGACGCCTGTCCAGTACTCACTGGTTTTCGTGGATTCTCTAACTGATGACAATTGACTAAGAAAAAATTTTCCTGGAAATTACTTATATGCATTCAAACCCTACGTTTGAGAATAATTAACACTTCTTCTTTACGGAAACCTAAATAGGTGGACTTGATTTGAACACATTATCAAAAGGATTAAATTCATTTGCACTTGCTAGTAGTATACAGCTTAAATTAATAGTAAGTCGAAATTAATCAGGACATGCGTAGCATGTACTACTTGTTAAATGAGATTAAAACAAATAAAATAAATCCATGCTTCAGTTTTAAGTAATAAGGGCTGTTCTTTATTTGTTGTAGTTACTATGGTTATATGTGTTTGTCTAGTGTCAGTTTCTAACTGCATTTAATTTATACTTTATGTTCTACACATAATTCCATTATTATAGATTATTACAGCGCAGAGTGAGATTCATCAATGCTGATTATACCGGGTGCAATTTGAAAAAATAGCATATTTAACTGATGTAGTGAATAAAGTCAGTTGTAATTACTTTTAAGTGTTTCTGTCTGCAATTCTGTTTTACAGTCATTCAGCGCCGAATGGTTGGTATATAGTGTTAAAAGACTGTTCAGTTTTTGAAGGTGAATGGCACCGACTCACTGCCAATAATCTTTGAGAAATCAGTCTTACACGTCAGTCTTAAAGTCATACTGATCAATGGGGAAGTCAAATGATGACGCATGGGACAAACTTGTTTGTGACACATTTTAAGTACTAATCCGTAACGAGTCATTTCATTCTTCCATTGCGCCTTCAGGTTCTTTATCCACTTCATTGTCATGATAGAAAGATGCATAATCTTCCTATTAGTTTGCTTTCTTTAAATATAATCTTTAGAGTGCTTAGTGCCTAACTTAAGTGTCACATTTATTCGTGTCATTTCGTCACACGCTATGGCGTGCTGACTTAATGGTTGAACAAACTTCGATAAAGAAGCGCTATCTGAATTTTTCATACATGATGATTACGAGTATACATTTTGTAAAAGGTCATTTGAACATTCATTTGAACAATGTAAAATGAATTAGGGAATAATTGAGTCACTCACCAGAGTCTACAAAATCAGTATTCCCAGAAGCCAGGCTGCAAAATAATTTTTTTAAACTATAATTATCGGATTATGAATTGTGGGAGTCTACAATGGCTTCATGCCTTGAAGACAACTAATTTCATGATAGCGGTATTTCCACGCAAACTAATAACGTTACATTTTAAATATTTTTTTGGCGGTTTGGAAAACTAGTTTTTCTTAGTTACGTTTCTCTCCTGTTAGCTGAATTAGGAACTGTCACAGTCGACTAGGCGATATCAACGGTAGAATACTTACTTACCCTTCATGAGTTCTGGGGATCACTCCCAGACCAACGCTCTCTTAAACCTCGCCTAGCTGGCGGTAAGTCTATTAAAAAGGGGAGTTTGTGCTTGAAAAGAAACGCCTTTCTTGTCGAAACTTCTAAGTTCAAGTTCAGTACTCTGTATTCCCCTAGGGACTCAAGCAAATGAAATAAATAAAAACAAATAATAGTAGACTTGTAAAAAACCTTTATTGTTACGATATTTTGTTGAGGAATACGTTGATTCATAGCAAACACTAATACCTACTACTCTCTAAGGTATGTCATAAATGGGTTTAACCATTATTAGAGTGTCTGAATAGGATAGTTGTTTATCATATCCGTTAGCGAATTTGACTCGGATTTGTTAAGTCACTGAAATTAAAATTGAATCCCCTAATTACCAGAAATCAGCTATAATATATTGAAGTTTAACACTGAGTTAATCGAACAAAACTTTTTGGTGTTCGCACTGAGTACTAATTTCACTGTGAATAATACCTTAGAAAATAATTCAAGTTTTAGTTGTAGCAAATATCTCATTGTGAAGTGAGTAATGAAAATGTGTACAGCTAAAGTAATTAATCTATGAGTCCCACTTTGAGGTTACTTTATTCTCGCACACGTTTCCACCTCATGATATCACTATACAGTAACGACAGGCATCTATTTTTTTATTATAGAAAATTTCGGGGAAGTAATTCTCAATACCCGTTGAGAGTTTTCATAGTAGCAAGGATTACGCCTTGCAGTCAAGCTTTGATTTGAATGAATTCATCATCTCCATTAAAAGTATTGCCTTCATATTTAGAAGCACCTACCATGCTAATTAGGTCTTATAGCAAGCATCAGGGCAAGTTTACATTAATTTTGTCCATCTGTTGAAATTCACTTTAGTAACCAAGCATACATATATTACGCAATGGTTGATAGTTCTTTCCTAGTAAAATTATCACAGACAAAAATGTCTAGATTGCATAACTCGAAGGGTGGGTAGGTGACGAATGGTCAATCTTTAGTTAAATTTGAGTGATGCGCACGTTAACCACTGAATGACTGTTTCGTGACATTTATCGCAAATTTTGTTGAAACCACCTCAATTAAACTACAAATTCTTCAATACCTCTTGAATTATTCATCGGAAATTCACCTTAAAAATTTACCGGTCTAGCAAAGCTTAACATTTATATGACAGTAACAATATAAACAGCTACCTACATAAAATTTGATTTTTTAAAATTCCTTTACGTTCCCAGTGGAACATAAGGCTTCAAGCTAGAGGCCTGAAGTTTCAGTTGCAGTGGGCTTACTAGCCACATGCCCAGTCTAAATACTGGCTTGGTGAGGTAAAGGAGTGCGTCTGCCGGGGATCGAACCCCTGATCACATGTGTAGTTGGCAAGGATCCTACTGCTGTGCCACAGACATTTAATAAAGGGAAATAAATCGCCATTTACACATTCACTTGTGGTTTTAAGTTATCCCGGAAGTATCACTTTTTTGGAAATGAGAATTTGTGCCTGCTTGAGAATAATAAATTTTTTAAGACATTCGATGCATAAGAATAACAATGGACTAACTAGAGATTAATTTCTCAATAAAAAATAAAAAATAAAATTTGTCAAGAAACTAAAAGACCAACGAATAGGGGATTGTTAGTGGTGAACATCCCTTAAGAATTTGCATAAAAAGAAAGCAGATAGTAAATGAGTTATCGAAGAAGGAAAAGGATAGAAACCACCGTTCATATTACTCAATTAATTCTGTTGACTTGTTTAGATGTCACTGGAAACACTGTTATTCAAGAGCTGCACAATCCTCAAGAGACAAGCTCTGCAGCTGCATACGTCATTGTTGATGTTGTTGAAAGTTCACGCCCAAATACCAAAACGGAGAGAATTTCATCTTTGGTACCGTCGAAGTAAGTCATTTATTTTGCTTAGACACTAACTCATAACATAACGTTCTCTTCCTTTAGGTCATTGCAAATGCTGTTTAGATGTTAAAAGTAATAGAATGGAAACAAATGTCTTCATACTTGTGACTTTTCTCTGTCACATAGTATCTTAAATCGCCTTAACACAGTTCATTTCGCTTAGAGTTCTTAATAATTAATTTATTTTGTATTGTTTGACTACATACATACATACTTCCCTAACAATCACCATCTTACTATAGAGGAAATCGTTTTAGCCACCGTTTTCCTCAGTAATTCGATTTTGAACATCCGGGAACAACCACCTGTAAGCAGTGAATTAAAGTCTGTTTTACTATTTTTTTTGTTGTCACTCGTGAGTACAGTGTATCTGAAATTTCATGAGAAATTACCCTACTGCACAGTTTTACATTTAAGACTATCACTCCTAGGCTACACTGATCCGACACGAATCAAATCTGTTTTTTTTTCATAAAACTCATCATTTCATGAAAAAAGGATCAAACAGAGTTTATATGATAATAATAATAATAATAAAACAATAGTCAACAATCAGAAATCAATAAATTATATGAACTCACCTGAACAATCAGTTTTATCTTCATCTATTTGATTGAGATGTCTTCTATGTGTTTTTTAATGTAATTATTATTATTCTTTGGTTTTAATTTTTTGCGTTTTTGCTGTTGTTGACACTGACGACTGTCACAAAGACATCAGTGAATTCAAGCAGGTGTGCACAGATGAGGAAAAATTTTGCAATTTATCACAAAAAAGAAGCAGTAGCAGATCAACTCAAGAATGCGTGTAATTTTTATGTAAACTGGCTGAATGTAATTATTTGTTGCTTAAGTCTGAATCTGTATTCATTCGTTCACTCTCTCTCCGATTAAAAACATCGTTTTCTCTTTTTTCTTCTCTTATCTGTGACTTTATTATGTGTCGTCAAAAAAAAAGATGTATGAGTTGATTGATCTAATTCATTCTACGTTCAATAATTTTTTTACTTGTTTCACTTTGAAACTACTATATATATATATATATATATATATAATTCCCAGTTTATGCATACACACAATGATGTATGCATGTGGGTGTGTGTATGTTTCTATCACCAGTAGAGGCTGTCTATAAAAAAAGGCGTGTTCCTTTAACATGCGAGTATGTTTCCCTAAGTGTTTTTAAGTGTGTTAATCATAGTAAGTAAGCTAAACTCAACAAATGATACGATAAACTAATCCACACCCACACACTCATACGTGTGAGCACTAGTATTAGGAAACAACCCGTCCAGTGAATAAGGACCAATGCGACTTGTGCTACTTAGAGTATGTTTTGTTTTTTTAACCACAGATACTGACTGATAGCTACTGATGGTGTTGCTTTGATTTAGATGTCTTTGGGAGTTTATGATGGTTTGATAATTGCGTATAACCAACTATATACTACTGACTGATTGAAATGAGTAGTTGTTGCATATCTCTGACATCAGTCAGTTAAGCATGCTAACCGGCCAGATCAAAGTGATGTAAACACTGGATGACAGTTTCGCTTGTTTGAGGCTGAGCTCAGCAGCGATGTGTACTTGATTTGGTTTGGCTTAACTCAGAGAGACGAAATGTACCGAAATCGAGTGGTCTGAACTGATGGGGATCCCGGAGCTCGCAAACAAATGAAATTGACATTTTATTTTTTTCAGATCAATTCCATCTCACTGGCTAGCCTTCTCAACTGGTTAATGTCAGTGGTATCCAGTTAAGCATTTGAATCAACCAGTGCCATATAGTTTTATACAAACAAATAGGCTTGCCTTCTTGATTATCACTTTATGGTATCAAACAGATCACATTGTGTCATATGAGTATTCTTTATTTCTAAAGGAAACTGCGTGAAAAATTTCAACTTCTCGAACTGTGTAAATTGAAAGCTGACAGCCAATCTGAAAATTACAAATTGCTTTGATTACTGTACTTCTTTTCTGTGAAGTATTCATTCTCAACTTCTTGCAAGAATATTTAGCAAAGCGTATACACAAATATTAGGCATCTAGCAATAAAGCCAAAATATATCATGAGAAAAATTCCTATAGTACAACTCAAATCGAATTTCAGACGACATTGAAAGCGGTGAATCATACAGCAGGCTAATGTTGTTACAGGATTCACTTAGAAGCATATAGAGGGCCTACAAGTCACACTCACCATCTATTCAGTAGGTATTTTGAACTTTCATTTTATAATCGAATATTACTAAAATTCTCAGTGAAGACAGATATATAACCGTACTCTCGTTAAACGTTAAGCTCGGTTTAATTTCGATTTTTGAACAGTTCGTTATCACCTGTTGAGACTTAGATTCACGTGCAACTGTTGACTTAGTCTATTTGTAATAGCATTGTATTCTAATTTTTCATTGAAGTAATATTTATGGTTCACTCTGCTATATTCTCTCATTGCTTGGGTTATAAGTGGAGCACAGACTTCAGACCTATTGCCTTGAAGTCTCAAAAGTGGTTTTTCTTATGGTATGAGGTTGATGGACTCATGCCAAACCTCCCCTGTGCTTTCTACCGGCTTAGTGGTTCAGCGGTGCTTTGGGCAGGGATCGAACCCCTTACCACATTTGTGGTTGATAAGTACCCTACCACTGAACTACAGACGTTGTGTCTACTATTTGTGCCGAGTTTTTTTTATGCTTTTATTTCTCTGTGAATGCAGTTCAAAACCATTAAAACAAGAAACAGTTTTCATGTATAACTGCCTCGTCCATTGACCAAAACACGTGTTTCATGTCTCGTAATGATGTGAATTATTACAGCCATCTGACTGTTTTGTACGTCGGGGTGAACACCAACAACATTTTAAGTTAAAATACTTAGGTGAATAAGTGACATTGGGGTCAGTAGTTTCTAACGCAAATTTGCTCAAGAAAGTGTAAAACTTAAATAAAAAAAGGGGTATAAATTCACATAGAAAACCTTCATTGAAGAATCAGTATACTCATTATTTGAGTTCTGCAAGTCTATAAATGCAGTTTAGTGAGGTGTTCGGTTTACAGAGCAAGTGTAATCCATTCATGAGAAGCTCAATATTATCAGATAATTTCTCCGTAAAAAAAGGTTATAGAGAAACTTTCCTTGTTAAAAAATATGAATTTACTGCCAAGGCAAAAGCTCCAAAGAAGCTAACATTAATAAGACTGCAGTTTCTTAGTGATAAAATCTGTTCGATAGTCACACAGCGCCTGAAGAATGCAGTAAAAAGAGCATTAATCGAAGAAGAGATACGCTGTCTCTTCAGTCCTACTTTCGAGATATATGAACAAACTGCTCTGTTTCGCCTCCTGTATGTGTATCTTCCAGCTTAAATGTTCTTGTATAGCTAGTTACCTTGCATATACAAGTAGGTATGTTCATCGTCAGGTTTTCAAACATCATTCTGCTTAGGTAAACAAGGGCTAAGTAAAGTCAATTCCTATCTTTGTTTTAGCACACTTTGTGGATATTGAGCATAAAGTTGATGTTAACATGGCATTTAAAGCTATCTATCTATCTATCAACTACTACTACTGACTGAAGAGGTCAGTCCTCTGTGTTCAAGAGAAATTCGTACAGATACTTTCCGTACCAGGGCCAACATTACTCGATTGTAAAATTCTGATAGTTTCCTCTTTCCGTTAAACCACTTACAGGTTATTACTGTTTTGACTATTTTATTCGCCTGCTGACACCATCTTTTTAAATTGCAGCATCTTCTGTTTAGTGTTATAAACGCTTTTTCCTAACGCATCCGACACTGTATACCTTCTTTGGAGTTATTTTCATGCTGTTTCATGCAAATAATAATTCTTAGTTATGGATGAAGGTATTACGCATGCGTTCATAGGCTCTTCAGATGCGCAATATCATAAGTGAACTGAAAATTGAAGAATTCTGTCATAATAAATTTGCATAATGTTGCTCCAAGGCTGATAGTGTCAGCCCATACCTACTGTCTGACCCAGTGAAGGATACGTTTCCAAAGTTGCCGCCTAATTTCATAGCTTTGCTGGTTCCTTATTGTTAAATCTCTGCCACAAAATACTTGTGGCTAAAGTGTAGTAAGTAGCTGATCATAACTTATCAATTGGTGACTCAAACTTTCAATGCGTCTGTTTTTTAACCCTATTAAGCATATAGCTCAACGTAAAACACAATCATCAATAGAGTTTTTAATCTTTGAAGAAAAAAATTAGTCTTGTGGTGAATGCAAGTTAACCGGAAATCTATTTGATGAAATTTACACGGCTAGTCTCAAGTTCTCCACAAATAATTCATAGTTGAGAATGCCAAATGAATACATAAACAAAGAAACTGAATCGTCTTCATCCGTTGCAACTCCCACTTAGGGCTAAAATTACGCCTAGATAATTATCATGAATATGACAAGAAAGCAAAGTAAATTAGACTACCGATAGAATTCTTCCTGAGTCAAATGAAACAGAATGACTTTCCTATCACTTCAAATGAATATCTGAAAGTTGTTTAAAATTCTAATCCATATGTAAGCAAGGTTGATGATACTGTTTCACTTGTTTACTTGAATTTGGTGAAAATTTAAGAGTGTGGAGTCCCTTTGAAAAATTAACAACATCGAAATACTCTGTGTTCAGAAAATATGATAAGTGTATGAAATTAAACTACGGGATTGGGTTTCTAGTCTCATGCCCAACTGGTTAATGAAGCCGTCGCGGCTCAGGATTGTGGCAGCTGGGAATTGAATTCGAACGTCCAGCGAGGCTAGCCGTCACTCTACCACTGAACTAGAGACGCGCCTTATCACTACAATAATTAATAATGAAAATGCTTGACTTTCAAAAACAAGGGAGAACAGCTAAACTAAAATTGTTGGTGTTCTGTGCGTCACTATGCTGATTAATGCAACTAAGAGTGCAGACAAGATCGTTCCAGACGCAGATGACATTTTATTTTGCTAGTCGAATATACATAAGTAGCAACTCTATGCCGCTGAAAAGAAACGGAAATAAAGGGAAACCTTTATTTCCTCTCGAAACTTACAACATAGTTTTTACATCAGTGGTTAACCATATGTGTTGGCAATCTGATTTTCAGGCTTACTACAAGCAAATAATTATATGAAGTGTTATATCTGAAACCAAAATAACATTTGAATGGTAAATCCTGTTTTATTTTTACCACCTTACATGCGAATGCCTTCCTTCATAAACAGTCGTTTACTCTGTTATTCGAAAGGTGATTTCTGTTGACCAATGAAAAATCAAATGAGTTAAAGCTAACAGAACTGCAGCAACTGTACTATTTTAGTTCACTTGAATCAGTTGACGCTTCGTAACTGTAGAAGGGCGTTTACGTTCCTTAATGATAAAGTGGTACATTTCCTTTACCAGTTACGATAATATAATCTGTCTACGTATTTGTATCCCAGATCACATCAGCAGCAAACCCTTAATATATATAGCCAGTAGATGCTGGAGAGTTTAAGCAAGTGATGTATTATACAAAGGTTGTGAAGCCATTCCTCTCTACTCTTATTTGGCAGCTTTTCCTCTATCAATAAAACAATATTCAGAAACTAGCTAAGATAAGCTTGATTGATTCAAAGATTTAGTGTTTATTCCGTGTATATTAATGAGAACAATGAATTGTATGTGTTAACTATTTTAAATTTTTCTGCTCTGTTTTCCCCTATCTGAAGAAGATTGAAACTCAGCAGATGAAAACGCTGCTTCACATATTCACCGTCTTCATAGAGAACTGTATTCATCTGCAACTTACTAACAAGAGGTTATCATAATTTAGTGATAGACCGCCACAGTAATTAGGAGATGATTCATTCTGATCACTACTGCTGTTAGTACAATAAAACTTCACTTCTCTTGCCCTGATGTAATCTTAAATTGTCTGTTCAAATACTGGTACGATTAATGTCTTTGTGCATTAGGCCTCATATTCACTACAGACCTTCCAAAATAATGTGGGAGAGTGCTACTAGAAT